AAGGAGGAGGAGGAGGAGGAGGAGGAGGAGGTAAAAGACGAGGAGGAGTAGGAGGAGGGAAGGAGGAGGAGGAGGAGGAGTAGGAAGAGGGTCACCTTAGCGACGGGTAGAGGAGCAGCTCCTGGCGATGGCTCCAGCGGAGGCGGCTATGCCTGCAGCAGCGGAACAGCGGGGCAGCGGGGCTGCAGGGCAGTGGGGCAGCGAGCAACGGGGAGGCGGGGCAGCGGGCTGTGCGATTTCGAATTCAAAATACGCCTAATCTAGGCCATCGATCTTGGTGGACCGACGGCTCAGATCGGGCCTTTTTTTTTCCGAAATCTGTGTGTCTTGCTCAGTATCCGCCACCGTGAGGTGTTGCCAAGGGTTGATCGAAATCCGTTGGCACCCCTAGACCCAAGAAGAAGCCCTGCGCCTATTTTGCGCACGCCCCGGAATGTTTATTTCTGGGTTCTTACGGGGTGGAATTTCCAGCAGGATATTCCGGATGGTCCTGGGCCATCCGGATATCCGGAAAAAAAACTTTGCATTAAACTAACCTGCTTAGGTATCTGTAATCATGGTACAAAATGAAAAGTACACTTCTGGAGTGTTCATGAATATTGTACAAGTGGTTGGAACCACTCATGGAAGACGGGATGAGACTCGGGACAGGGACCTGGGACTTGGGACTGAGATCTGGGGCTCGGGACTGGAGACTGAAACAGGGGTGCTGAGATTTGTGAACCCTTTTACAATTATTATATGGACATTATTCTCCTTATCCCACTCTTTCTTTTGTCCTCTTTGCTGGTTGTCCTTCATTGAGCATTGTGAATCCAATGCATGACAGTGGTGATATGAGCTTCCAGAGTCCCTTTCGTTACACACACAATTATAACCCACAAACTGTGCTCCAAAAAATGTTTTAACATATATGATATCTCATATCAGCCAGCTTAATATATGTTACCATCCCTCCATGGATGTTGTAGTCCAACTCTCATGCAAGAACAAAAGAAGTCTGCGTGATAGGCTTCTGAGGGAAAGAAGATACGCACGCAGCGGCTCCGTACTCCCTCGTCTACAGTAGTGCCTGCATGACAGGGTTGCAACACCACAAACATTAACAACAAAGACAGAAAACAATTCAGGGGAAACATCTGCTTTGATTTCCCAGGGTTCATCAGCATATGAGCCTTGGATTTCGAGATATGCCTCTATGGGGAAAAGTGGCCAAATTTTTCATTCGAGTTCAGGATGCATGCACATTGGTCGGACTGGACACTCACACTGAGCACAAACGTTTTCTCTCTCTGCTACATTAACTCTGAAGAAGTAATCGAATTTCTCATTCAAAACCTATGCCACATTTTTTTGTCCAACAGGCCCGTACACACTAGTGAGATGAGGTAGGACATCAGGGACGAGGTCCCACTTAAGCAGATTGTTCATTCCTGACAGTCAACTGCCTGGCAGGGTTGTAACACCACCACCAACAACAACAAAAACAGAGAGTGACAACAATCACCGGGGAAACATCCGCTTTGATTTTGACAAGCTCGTCAGCATATGAACCTCAACTTCTCAGATATGCCTATACAGGGAAACGTCCAAAATTTTTATTAGACTACAGGACACATACACATTGGTCATGCTGGACACTCAATGCTGCTGGATCGATCGATGTTGAGGCTTTTTCTTTCACGTATCTATGGTCGGCAGTTGTGAAGCTGCAAGGTTCAAACTCTTATATGTATGCACGCAGTGGGCACGGTACATCCATGAACCTGAAGTACGATAACATCACGATTGATTACATAATCGAGCAAAGATGGAAAGAACTTCCGGTAAGATTATGCAATCAGTGAATTCCATCCCACGGAGCCTCACATGAATTCAGTCTACTTTGAATTCCCATTAGCTAAGGGTTCAGTCTAAGATAGAGCTGGCGCACAAAAGTTTTTCTCAGATATGCCTATACGGGGAAATGTCCAAAATTTTCATTAGACTACAGAACACATACACATTGGCCATACTGGACACTGGATACCAACAACAACAGTTTACTCTCTCTATTACATTAACTACTAAATGTAGTCTGGCTTCCCAAAAACTTAAGCCACATTGTTTTCGTCCAGCCAGTCCATACACAATCCAAAGATCACGTAGCGCATTAGGGAAAAGGTCCCTGTGGCATACTGTTACATGCCCAGTTGGGCGATGTACATAGAAACCGAGGATCCCCAATGTGATAAAAAGGACTGAATGGACAATGCAGTGCAAGTAGAATCTCAACAAGCAATGTGCATTCTAATACATACAAAATGGTGCTGAATAGCGCAGGGAAGACTTAGGTACAAATCCTGACCTGACCGGGACTGAGCTCATTCACATAGTAGCCGATAGCGAAGCAGAATGCCAGAATGCTAATGACTAGCCCAATCAATGTTTGAACGCAGACCAAACAGACATCGTATCCATCACCAGGTGTGAAGGAGCCTGGGGCTGTACACAGGAAGAAAGCGCCAGGTCCAGACATACACAGACGAAGAGGAGGGGATCAGACGAAAGGAGGGAGAGAGATGGGAATGTCGTCAACACCAAGTCCCTGTCACAAGTCCCAAATAATCCCTCGTTGTAATGTCTGAAGCCCAAAAGTCGAGTCTGTATCCAATGTCACCAAGCTCTCTCTCTCTCACTCTTCTCGCATAGTCTGCAGATGCAGTGAAGTCAGATAAGGAGAGGGTGAGAGGGAGATGGTGGACTGAGAAGAGGAAGAAGAAGAACTCTATCTCTGCCACGAGCGAGATACTAACCTGTGATGTTGGCGCTGTGCTGCAGGTACCTCGAAGACGAAGCTGGAGCAACGGCGCTGCAGGTAAGTACCTCTGGCCTCCGCCCAATCTCTCTCTCTCTCTAGTGCTATCCTAGCTATGGCACCCAGCGCTGGAGACTACAGCTACCTACTGCGCCCAGCGCTGAAGACTAAGGCTAACGCTACTACTACTCCTGCAGCGCTCCCTC